AAGAGGGAAAAATCTGCAATTCTGAAAAATAAACAGTAAACATCCATAGAAATAAACAGGGTGGGTAAATAAATGTTAGCTACAAAATGGGTAAACAAATAAAACATAAATACAAAACAATTTGTTGAATTCAGCAATTCCAAAAAGCAACAGAACGACAAACCATACATTCAATAGTAATATCCTGCATGCTGCAATAAGATCTTATAAAATAACCTGAACAAAAAATGTTGGAACAACTAAAACGTGTTAGAGCAGAAAATAGTTTGGTTCAAATTAAGCGCATATTTATAATATTTATATATGTATATTTCTTTACAAATAATGAATATTTGGCATTATATCCATCCTCATTATTGATATGATATTTAAGAATTCAAAATAATTTAAGCTAACATGTATCCTTGAAATCATCCATTTTTATATCACACTCCAAAATTGATGAGCAGCAACTGACTACACATTCAATGTTTTCTCCACCGAAGCAAGTAAGCAAAACTCTGTCCACCCAAAAGCATTTCAAACCATAGAGAGCAAAGGAGAAGAGCTGGACGACCCCATTCTCTGGGAGGACAGCACTTCTAGGTCAATGAGGAAAAACAAACAGCATATAGAAGCAAACATACGGAGTGCATGGATAAAGTCTGATAATAGGCTGCTAGGGAATCGTCAGGCGTGGAACGGACTCTGTGTCGTTTCACTTCGGCATTGATGCTTTCAAATCATTTGAATGTTCAAAGACAAACCAGAGAGTGCTCTGATTCTCCTGATAATATGAAAAGATCGGTACATTGTGGCTAATGTGTTTCATAAAGGTTATTGCTCAATAGGCACGCTGTATTAGACGGCCTAATCATTGTTAAATATGAAGTGTGCAGTCCAGTCCCGTCCCCTCGAAAGCAGCCCTGAAGTGAACAGCAGCTCACTCCCAGTTCCTCTAGCTAGCTTACAACTTGGAGACCGTTGTCTCATTGGCACTACAGTAAGCAGTATGACATTTTCTACAATGTTCTGTCTATGAAGATCCATATTCAAGTTTTTTATGAGGAGTACGATCCTTCTGTGTAGGAATTCCTACAGAGCAAAGTTTGAAGATGGAATGGTGTCTGTCAGTGGAGTTTAATTAATAAACCTGCCCAGGTGCCTTGATTGTCCTAAGAAAATCAGGATTTTTAGGTTCAAAAGAACAACAAAGGAGAAGACGACTCTGTAAAACAGACACAGATGCAATTTCACATTCTCACAACACTTACAATTGTGATGGGTTTAGTCACAAGAGCATGGCAGTATTGTGAGAATGCTAGTTGTGTATTAATTGTGAGAAAGGAAATTTACCTCAGCAAACGCAAGCCACTGGTTGATCCCAGTTAAGGCTTACTGCTTTACAAAGTACCAGCAAATACAGTACAAAATCCATGACATTACAGGTTTCTTTATAAAGACAGCTATATATTAATATATATGAATTACCAGTATCAAATTGATGACAAAGGAGCATTGTTTGTGGTATAATTATAGTTGTTTACACTGCCATTCACATATTTAACATTACACATGTTTTAGTTTTTCCCTTAAAATGAAAGGAGAAAAAATCTAGCCGAAAATAAAATATCAAAATAAAGTAATGTAGATTCACGCAGTACATCCATATTTTAGCAAAACCAGCAAAGTCATAATGAATCTCAAACAGGCAAGAAGACAATTCGGTGTTGATGACGGGAGCCCTTGCGATGTCTTGAGACTGTTTACTGATGTGCTTGTCTTTTAGGGTGTACTACAAAGGGCTCTACCCAACATTGTAAAAGACCTAAAAACATAGCAGCCTGCTTGTTCTATCTGTGATTCCTGGAAGCAAATCAAGTATGTTTAATTGATCCTTGGTCTGTTTCAACTTTTGAAGCCGTTGCTTTTTTGGCCACGTATGCCTTTAAAGGTTCGGAAAAGCATTTTTCTTACAAAAAAATTGTAAATAAAAATAAAATGCATCAAATGTTTGTTACTGCTTTTGACTTTGACTACTATATGTTAGCATGGTATAAATCAATTGTAATTTAATTTTGATAGTAAAATAGTATAGTGACAGAATGCACAAAAGCAATGGTCTATTTGACAAAAAAATAGGTACAGATAAGCATAAGCATGCTCAACTGATTGCCATGGATACTGGGCAAGTCTCAGCCATTGTTTGCTCCGCCTGCTTGCTGCCTGCCGCCTGTACCCTGGACCTCGAGGTAAAGCAAACTGTGCTAAGCATGCAACACACAGCTAGGCTACTCATGGCTGCCACTTCCTTTCGAAGATCATCCTCATCCTCCGGCCGCCAAAACCACACGCTAGGCTATCTTTAGAAACTGGCAGCCAGGATATTCAAACTTGCGGCATGTCAAATTATTTCCACTTTTTTTTTTATTTTTTACCATATTATTTATGATAGCACACCACTGGTCACTGTATTATTAAAAATTCACACACACGGTATACTTTCCTCCTCACACACTGACCACTAAGTCAGGCAAACTAGCCTGTCATCTCTTAACCCACTAAGCATTCAAAAAACATTCAATTCAGAAGCTTACTCAAATCGGGGACAATTCAAGATAACAATTCAGGGTAATTTGGGTTATGCTCTTAGATAAGGGTTACAACAAGATAGTCTAACAGCTGAACTGTTAACATTTTACTCTTTCAGTCATAAGACTTGTTCACTCTTCCACACAAAGATGTAATCACGCTGTAAGTATATCTGTTGCTGATCAATTGCAATCGTATTTATTATTTATATTTAATGTCAAAAAATGTCCAAGGAATCTGCAACTTCAAGCATATAGCTGTGGAACTAGCATGCTGGCTTACAAATAGCACTTCATCTTGAAAGTTTTTTTTTGTTTGTTTTTGGCTACGCCGCCTAGTCAAGCTTGGCTGAATCTAAAACATGCCGCATTCCCTACATTTGAAAGGAGAAGCGCACACTAAGCCTACTGGAATATAAAAGGCTCAGATGTAGCTTTTGTTATTTTCCCAGCCCTTTGTCATGACAAACATGATAATACAAGAACAATGGCATGTAAAATACTTTTTGCTTCACAAAGCATCTCATTCCCTTCCAAGCTGTCAGACTCCTACTTAAGATACCGATTGTTAGTTTAGGCTGCTGAGTCATTTTCGAGTTTGGTTTTAAGGCACCTAAGGAAGATAGTCCACCTGAACAGTTCCTGTATATACAGAAATGCTAGACTATGTCCTGGTTATACTTATGTGAGTGAGAGTGTTTTATCAAATACTATTGACTAGGACTATGTCAGGATTCAGACCTAACAAACCTAATCAAATAGGATGACTCCATTGCATAGATATCCATCGTGAAAAGGTAATGTCTGAAGACATATGAATATGAAAGTATGTAGGATGCATGCATTTAACATCTAATATATTAAATATGGTCATTGTGACATATATTAATTTAAGTAAATAAATTCATGTGTAAAAGTAGCAATTGTTGATATATTGCACTTATAAAATATTCTCTTTACTGTTTCCAGTTCTAACCTTTGACTTTTCTCGAAAGGGGTCGATTTGCTGGGAAGGATGATTCGCCCATAAAGAAAATAGAAGCAGCTTATTGAAATGAAGCATCTTGGGCTGCAGGTTTACAGCCAGGACCTCACACAAAACCTTTGCTGCCTGTCACTGTGTCATAGCATGACTACTGGATACAGTGAAGGCAGCCAGTGCTTCAGCAAATCCCAGTAAAAGAGTCTGTGCGCGGCACAGACCCAAGGAATTATCACGCTAAAGACAGTACAGCACGGTAGCCTGTATGTGTCAGTCAGTAGCAGCTGTCTGTGTCCCCTCTTAACAGAGAACAACTGTCACATAAATTATGTCATTCGTTGTCCAGGACTACAGCAACAAACAGAGATTTAACACCTCTAATCCATTAATTCCTACACAACAAAACAACAACCAGGTCAGCTGTCTGTTTGTTTGTTTTTTTAAAAACATGGTTTAAAATAGATTACAATTATAATGGAAAAATAAATGAATGGCAAAATCTCAAAGCTATTTATTTTAATTTATGGATTGTACATTGTGAGGATTTTCTTTAAACTCTAAACATGTTCTGATATATAACCTTTTTAGGTGTTTGCAGGTGTATCAGTGAAGTTCTAACTACTTTTGACTAATGCTAAGCTTTATATATCTATGAGGGTCATTCCGTCTCATCGCCATGGTGACCAGTCCTTCACAGATTCTGTCACAGCTGGCCAAACCATGCAGCCACCATACTGAGCAGAACAGCCTGGTTAGTCTCTGTTATAGCCCTGATAGTGTAGCGCAGCCCATCACACCTCAGGGTCGGAACCCTACCATTCATTCATACATATATATTTACTGTGTTGTCATATATATTTAAAATTTACGCATTTTATATACATGGACAGATATAAAGTGATATATATTTAATGCCAAAGAATGGTACATATATTGGAATTTTTTTTCCCAATTTTATACTTATAAATTTATGCATATACAGAATAGTCATATACATTGAAAAATTACACAAGTATTATACTTAAAAATACATTCTATGACATCTGCATATATATATATATATATATATACATATATATATGTATATATATATATGTATATATATATGTGTGTGTGTGTGAAAGAGGAAATAGCATAATTTGCGATATAAGAAGTATGTACGGACATATAAAAACACATCCCTTACATTTAGGCTTTCCTGTTATATAATGACATATATTGCTTTTTTCTACTTGGGGTGTGGCTGCACCCGGGCATGTGCTGAAGTGAAGAGGCGTGAGCCTCCAGGGTCATGTGACCACGCATGGGACGAGTAGGAAATCCCCAGTGTCACATGACCAGGTCAGAATACCACCGCATCATGGCTCTAAGAGGCTTCAAGCCTGCAGGGAGCTCCACGAGGATACACCCC